TCAGATAATTAAAAATAGAGCTACCCTATGACCTAGCAATTGTACTCCTGGGTATTTACCCCAAAGACACAGATGTAGTGAAAAGAAGGGCCATATGCACCCCAATGTTCACAGCAGCAATGTCCACAATAGCTAAACTGTGGAAAGAGCTGAGATGCCCTTCAACAGATGAATGGATAAAGAAGATGTGGTCCATGTATAGAATGGAATATTACTCAGCCATCAGAAAGGATGAATACCCAACTTTTACATCAACATGGGATGGGACTGGAGGAGATTATGCTAAGTGAAATAAGTCAAGCAGAGAAAGTCAATTATCATATGGTTTCACTTATTTGTGGAACATAAGGAATAGCATGGAGGACATTAGGAGAAGGAAGGGAAAAATGAAGGGGGGGAATCGGAAGGGGAGATGAACCATGAGAGACTATGGACTCTGAGAAACAAACTGAGGGTTTTAGAGAGGAGGGGGGTAGGGGGATGGGTTAGCCCGGTGATGGGTATTAAAGAGGGCACATACAGCATGGAGCACTGGGTGTTATACAAAAACAATGAATCATGGATCACTACATCAAAAACTAATGATGTATTGTATGGTGACTAACATAGCATAGTAAAATAAAATTAACAAAACATCTTTTCTTTTTCACATGGCAGATTGTGCTTCTAGACACCAGGTAGCTTCAAGAGCATGATTTTTAGTAGGTACAAATCTATCGGGAAGTTTTCATTGATGAAAGCCTCTAGGAATGGCTGGGCCAAGTGAGGAGAGTGGGGAGGCCAGGGCACATCAGTGACTAGAATATGAATGAACCCCATGTCAAGGGAGAGCCGTTAAATGAAAAAGCACTTTGAGGTACTTTTCCCCAAACTTGCCTGCTCATCAGTAAGACTTATGTGGGACCTATGACAAAAATCCAGCTCCCTGGTACCATCTTAGAACCTCCAAATCAATCTTCAGGGATGACAGCTTGATCATCTTGATTTTTAACCAGTGGAGTGGTGATTGTTATGGTCAGGCAAATAGGGGAATCGCCAATTTGAAAGGACGCCATTCCACAAATATAAGGCTTGAACAAATAGGGATTAGCTCTCAGAAAGGCATCGCTTTTTGGAGTAAAATTGTCAGTTGACTTGAGCTTTAAAGGAATTAAATCCCTGGCACTAGAGATGGAATCTGACAGTCAATTAGCAGCTGTGTGCAAGGCCAGGTGGAAAGCAGTTACTGTGTCCCATTGGTTTTTCTGTCCCCAAACACAGAGGTGTTTTTTTGTACCTGTTGCCACACCCCAGTTCTAGGTCTCCACCCCACAACATGGCAGGTCATGGCTGTCCGCCTCTGGCGACTGCCCATGGCAATTTAACCCCCTTCCCCCATGACCATACTAACGTTCCTATTTTTTTTTTAAGATTTTATTAATTTTTTGACAGAGAGAGAGAGACAGCAAGAGAGGCAACACAAGCAGGGGGAGTGGGAGAGAAGCAGGCTTCCCGCGAAGCAGGGAGCCCGATACGGGGCTTGATCCCTGGACCCTGGGACCATGACCTGAGCCAAAGGCAGATGCTTAATGACTGAGCCAACCAGGCACCCCATACTAACGTTCCTAAAGCCCACTTTTGTCCAAGTCTTTTTTTGATGAAAACAAAATGGAATCATCAACCAACCAAAACCAACCCCCTACATACACACACACACACACACACACACACACACACGACCCTCCTGCTGTGGATCCCCATTGCCTATAGAATTAAATACAGTCCTCCACACGGCATTCAAAATCTCAGTATGGCCCCAGCCCATCTTCCTAGCTGGACCTCTGACAGCTTCCCTACACGTAACATCAGTGCTGCCCAAGTGGATGGACGGCCATATCCCAAACATGCCCCTGGTCTTCCTGCTCCCGTGGCTGTGCCTAATATGAGCCCCCATCTCACCTCTCCCCACTGCACCTCCTCTCCCAGGACCAGGTCCTGTGCCTGTCTCCATCTCCATCTAACTCACTAGGTCCCACTTCCTCTACCACACTCCATATATAATGCTACCCTGTTCTATTTTGTGTTTCATTGTGAGCTCCTTGAGAACACAGTCTATATTTTAAGAAAGCACCTTTGAATCTCTCACGCTGCTGAGTATGTGGGAGTACCAAAAAGAGCCATGTGACCAGAATCATGTGGCCATGGAGAAAAATGGTGTCCCTGTAACTTACTAGCTGAGAGGCTTCCGAAGAGTTACTTAGCCTTTCGGAGCTTCTGTTCCTTAATTAGCACAGTAGCGATGATACATAGCACCACCCCTCCAATATTATGGTAAGGGACTGAACGTCTGTCAAAGTGTCTTTACTCACAGTAATTGCTCAGTGATGACGCACAGCTGTCCCTCCCTTCTTAATGCATATGTACTAGATTGATTTAAGGAGGCTAACTAAATAAAGCAGTAAATACTACTAGTTATTTCAAGTTTTTCTGTAGGTGCAAAACTCCTTCCTCTCTCTTGTAAGAGCAGTTAACTTAGCTTGAAAAAGATGGAAAGCAGTAATCTTTCCTGGTTAGTTATGTGCATTTTTTAAAAATAAACATTCTAGGGGCACCTGGGTGGCTCAGATGGTTGAGCTTCTGCCTTTGGCTCGGGTCATGGTCCCAGGGACCTGGGATCGAGCTCTGCATCAGGCTCCCTGCTCCATGGGGAGCCTGCTCTTCTCTCTCCTTCAGCTGCTCCCCCTGCTTGTGCTCTCTTGCTCTCTCTGTCAAAGGTAGCAGGAGGGGAAGAATGAAGGGGGGGAAATCGGAGGGGTAGACGAACCATGAGAGACGATGGACTCTGAAAAACAAACTGAGGGTTCTAGAGGGGAGGGGGGTGGGAGGATGGGTTAGCCTGGTGATGGGTATTGAGGAGGGCACGTTCTGCATGGAGCACTGGGTGTTATGCACAAACAATGAATCATGGAACACTACATCTAAAACTAATGATGTAATGTATGGGGATTAACATAATAAAATAAAAATAAAAATAAACATTCTACTTAAGCTGTTATTCTGGAAAACTGGAATTTCATTGGTAATCCCTCATCCATGTACGCACAGGAGTTTCTGAAGGTAAAAATCCCCAACCGTAGAAGCTAGAAATACGAAGATGGGGAGACGGGTAAGAATGGTGGCACAATGCTACGATAAAATGCCTGTGGGAGTTGGGACGAGGACATCGGACACGGGCAGGTGTGAGAGCTAGAGAAGCCTGTTTTTTTTTTTTAAAGATTTAATTTATTTATTTGCGAGAGAGAATGAGAGACAGAGAGCACGAGAGGGAGGAGGGTCAGAGGGAGCAGCAGACTCCCCGCTGAGCAGGGAGCCCGATGCGGGACTCGATCCCGGGACTCCAGGATCATGACCTGAGCCGAAGGCAGTCGCTTAACCAACTGAGCCACCCAGGCAACCGAGAAGCCTGTTTTTTAATGCTGATTCATGGCCATGCTTGTCATACCAATAAGAAGCATTGACACCTAATTGGGGTTATTATTAAAATGTGGTTATGCTAACATCCTAAAAGTTTATACTAACACAATCAAATTTCACCTTTCAGCCATGGTTCAGGACCAAGGGAATTCTGGAAGTTTTCAGATATGGGCTGAAGGAAGGGAGCTGAGGCCTGGCAGTCTTGGGCTGTGGAAGGACACAAGTGGGGTGGCCTGAAGGGGAAGGGGCAGGGCTTGTAGTTGTCAGGTTTGGGTTCACCAGCCCAATGCCTTTACGAACAACAGTGAGCGCTATCACTTGGGCCTACGCAATTGAAAAAGGTCCTGGCAAAAAGTGCAAATCCTCTTTTAACAATAATTAAAAAAAAAAATCCTCTTTTATTGAACGGGAATTCTCATTAAACTGGTTTTTGGGGAAAAGAAAGGTTTATTTTACTTTGTCTTGAGTGATTTTCTTTTTTTTTTTTTTAATTCTTTTTTCTCCCAGCTTTACTGAGGTATAATTGACAAAGTGGTAAGATATTTAAAGTGTACATTATCATGATTTGATATACAGTGTGGAAGGATTCCACCTGCCCCCGCCCCCCATCTAGTTAATTAACACATCCACATGGGTGATTTTCTTGAGATCACAAAGCCCAGAGCACAGCCTCAAGATCATCTTATAGTCTAACACCTGGTTCCTTTCTAAAAAGATGAGGACCCCTGGAATACCAAGAACAATGACAGCTCCTAGATGCCATGAGGCCACCGTTAACAAAAACTTCCAAGGGAAATGGAAACCTAAAAATCTTGGAAAATAATTTTATTGTAACCACAGGTTGATTACAAAATAGAAATCAGAGAAAACATATTTTCTTAAATCAAAGTAACTAAATTTAGGTGAATTGATATTTATTCAGAATAACTTTAATGCTGTTTGTTATTCTAAAACTTCCAAAAATTCCATCTGACATAGGGGTTGTTCAAACTGTCACAAACAACAGTGTAGCTAATGAAGGGTTGCTAGGCTTTATTCAAAGCATGACTCCAGACTTAACACAGAGGTTCTATTAGAAGTCTAAGAGGAAAAAATGGACCATCAGAAATAGGGATAAGACATGGACATAGAGGCATTTTACACATAGGACTTCACATCCCCAACTAGAACAAGCTTGCTCTGGAATTCTGCCATCTATTTTCATGTTTGTCTAAACCAACCAACAAACAAACCTCAGCTGGAATAGTGTGAACAATGGTCATCTCGTTCCATCAACAACATTTCATTCATTCAGCACATATTGGAGTCCCTACCATGTGCTGGCACTGAAAGCAAGAAGGAGCAAGAGACATTCCCTTCCTTCGCCAAACTCATTGCCAAAAGAGAACACAAACAACCAGATATTTCGAATAACCCGGGGAAGAGCAATGATAAAGATGGGCATGGGCTCCCATGGGAGCCCCAGGGAAGGCTGCCTCAGCCCAGCAGCTTCCAGGGGAGAGCTCTGATGTCAGAGTCAGAATTACCCAGGGAAGCAGAGGTGGAGGTAGTTTCTAGAAACAGAACCATCATAAGCCAAGGCAGAGAGGCATGAGGGAGAGGAGTAATGACTTCAGTGTGACTGCAGCACACATGTAAAGGGAGGGCTGATGGAGATGAGGCTGGACCGGTGGTCCTGAATATAGAATTCTGAGTTAATAAATTGTGGTTATGACTTTTCCCTGCTTAAAAAACAACAACAACAACAAAAACCTTGGTTCCTTAATTGCATGCAAAGTGTATTCTTTTGAGACAAAATTTATTTCATTTTTAGTTCTGTTTGGCTGCATATTTTTCAAAATAATTATACTCCTTGGGGAGCAGTAAATGACAGACATGGGTTTTATATAAATGTCAATTACGATTTGATCATAAATCATGAAGCAATCACCTGCTTTTACCAGGGGACACGGAGTGTGGGGAAAGATGGCAAGTGCTGAGCACCTGAAGAGAAATCAACTCCTCTTCTGGGAGGTGAGTTTATTCTTCTTGGAGATCTAGGGGTCCTGGATCTGGAGTAGAGTCTGGACACAGTTTGGGAGGGAGGAAGTACTACAGAGGACCTGGAGAAGCCCCTCACCGTGGGTGAACTGCATCTTCATTTCCTGTGTCTTTTCTCTGGCAAATTCTGCCAGACTTCTGTACTGCCTCACATCATGCTGTGATCTGTCAGGGGCTAGACAGGTCAGCAGTAGAGGAAGGCTCTGGAATCTCAGCAGCAGCAGAGTCTGGAATCAAAGCAGGTCTGCCCGTTTTCCTGGGCATAGCAAATATGTAAGCACTACACTGACCAAGAGACAGCACTATGAGAGGGCAGCTAACCGAAACAAATCGATTCTATCTGAAAACACACTGAGGCTTTCCACATCCACTCTCCTGTACCGACTTAGGGCATCAGAGCATCTTTTCTCCAACTCTGCCGACAAGCTCTGCACTCGGAAGGTTCCTTTGCATCACTTAAGCAAATCATTGCTTATTAGCGACTTGAGGTAACCTCCAGTTTCTTTAGATGACTTTCACTCTTCTTTGTCCTGGATATTTAAAAATAACAGGTAAAAATATCTATTCTCAGAGCTGTAGGAAATAAAAATGTTTGCCCTGATGGGAATGAGCTCTTGATTTAGCTAAGCTTCATTTTAAAGAGTCTATCTTAAAGAGAGATACAGTATTACATGAAATTAACATCTGACAAATTTCACGGGAAGTAGTCTATTTTCTCTGATGTAATACTTTCTTTTGCAGTTTTTTTTTTTTTTAAACATGGTAAACTTGGTAAATTGAGCAGAAGAATGAAGATGGAAAAAACAAAAACATACTTATTCTGAGACCAGGGCCATGTTCTAAGAACAAAGTGGTTCCTGTTAGTAGGCAAGAAGAGAAAGATGCTAGACTGTTATTTTTCCTCCACAACAGGACAATAAGGAAAGCGTATCTCAGCCTCCTAGACCAAGAGACTCGCACTTCCTACCAGACCTGGGAGGATTTCCGCTTACCTATGAGTTCTTCCTTATTAACCTTTTGATTAACTGTTATTAAACACTCCTGAACACAGTGACTGCCTTATATGACTCAATTTATCATCACTACAAGATGAGCACTATTATCAGCCCCATTTCACAAATGAAGGAACTGAGGCACAGAGAGGCCAAGGAACTCACTTGAGGTCACACAGATAGGAAGGTCTGATGCTGAAAGCTTTCTTCTTCACTTTTACACTGTACACTCTACTTCCTTTAGTGACCATGCGGAGTTCAGTAAGAAATGAAAAACCACCTCTATGGAAAACATTCCCGTGCACCTAGTACGATCCCAAACTATTCCAAAAAACTCTTCTGTGGCATTTATCCATGCCTGTACTCCCCATCACCAAGCACTATACTCCCTCCCCAGGCTAGCATGAAGGGAACAGCAGGGATCGGGTAGCGAAAGCTAGCACCTTTGCCAAGCATGCTGTTTCAGGTGTCTCGCCTTGTTACCTCATTAATGAATGACTACAAAGAATCACAGAGAACGACCACCTGCCCATCGCCTGACCCCCTCATGTGACCCAACTTACTCCAAGGAGTCGATAATTTTTTTTGGCTCCACAGGGCACGGGTAGATGACCTCATCGATGTGCGTCAGGTTACAATTTGAAAAGGCGGTGGAGATATGTATGAAGGCTTCAAGCTTGGGCATCTGACTGGCCATAAGCAAGAGCTGCTGGGTGGCAGTGACGTTAAGTTGCACGGCATGTCTGCAGGAGGTAAAGCAGAAGGAAGTACAGTGAGGCAACTTGGCATCCTGCCTTGCTAGAACTTCACCTACTCCAATAACTGGCATGTCCATCTGATTTCTGTGGCTGCACCAAAGGACCCAAAAGAAAAGCATGGGTCGTGGCTACACAGTAACGCGATGCCTGCAAGGTGTTATATGGTGATGATGCATTCTGTGCACATAAATCCTATTCATTGAAGCATTGTTCATATTGCATATAGAGATGGTTTGGTTCTAAATCAGCTGGAAGGAAAAAAAATCATAATCCTCTGAATGTATAAAGGGGTTTCTTAAGCAGCCATTAAAAATATAGAAATAGGGGCGCCTGGGTGGCTCAGATGGTTAAGCGTCTGCCTTCGGCTCAGGTCGTGGTCCCAGGGTCCTGGGATCCAGCCCTGCATTGGGCTCCCTGCTCAGCGGGGGGCCTGCTTCTTCCCCTCCCTCTGCTTCTCCCCCACTTATATTCTCTCTCTCTGTATCTCTGTGTCTCGAATGAATAAATTAAAATATATATATATATAAAAATAGGGGTGCCTGGGTGGCTCAGCTATTAAGCGGCTGCCTTCGGCTCAGGTCATGATCCCAGGGTCCTGGGATCGAGCCCCGCATCGGGCTCCCTGCTCTGTGGGAAGCCTGCTTCTCCCTCTCCTGCTCCCCCAGCTTGTGTTCCCTCTCTCACTGTCTCTCTCTCTCTGTGTCAAATAAATAAATAAAATCTTTAAAAAATATATAAAAATACATAAATTGAGCATCTAACTCAAGAAGCTGCAAAATTCAAATGAACTGTAGGAGAGCAACAGTGGATGGAGAATGAGAAATAGAAATTTCTATTGCAAATGTCCAGGTCAGACCTAAAAATCGATGTCAAAATCCTAAGTTTTAGCTACTAGAACACCAAGTTATATAAGCACAATATGTGATGACAAATGGTTCATTCTAGAAATACATGGTTTATACAATATCAGGAACCCTATTAATCTAACTAAAAAAGAGCATAAAAAAGAGAAAAACTAAATGATCCTCTATATGCATTTTGAAAAGTTTTAAAATGACATTCAGTATCCATCTCTAATTTAAAAAAAATTCATTAAAAGAAGAATAAATTATTAAAATATATCCCTTTCCCTTTGTTAGCCTGTATCATGTTCAATGGTGAAAATTTAGGAGCACTGCTTTTAAAGTCAGGGCCAAGAAGAATGCCTGCAATCACTACCATTAGTTAGTACTGCTCTGAACTTCCACCCGGTAATGAGAGAGGAAAACAAAATGAATTAACAGATATAAGAGTTGCAAAGGCAGTCACGAAAATCCGTATCAGATTACATAATTGTATATCTGGGAAACAAAAGAGCTAAAAAAAAACCACCCTGGGACATGCAATGATTCATTCAGTAAAGTGTCCGTTTATAAAAGTTGTGTTAAAGGAAAACATTGGAGAATACAGTGGAAGAAAGGCACATACTCAAACTGAACATTTAAAAAATATATCAAGTTAAGAATAAATGAACAGACTATATACAAAAAAATGATAAAACTTCATTAAGGGTTATAGAAATATTGAATAAACAATATTATTCTTAGGAAGAGCCAATGTTTTAAATATGTTAAGCTTTTCTAAATTAGGTGACATATTCAAGGTAGTCCTAATCAAATTCCTAACTTTTTAAGAAGTTGAAAAAATTATCTTAAGTTTAATCAAGATGGATAAGCAGATGTGAATAGTCAGGAAAATTGTATAAAAAGAGAATGATGTGTGTATACTTGTCTAATAAAAAAAATTACTGTAATAAAATACTGTGGTGTTGGAAGAGAAAGTCTAAGTAATGGAACAAAATAAAGAGTCCAACAATGGAAATTCAGTATATTATAAGAGCTTCATTTAAATAAAGAGTAAAAGCAAATCATTTAATAAATGTTGCTCAAGAAGTAGCCATCTGTTAGAAATTTTTCAAAAGCTACTCTACATTCACACCCACATCACTTTTCCTTTTTATAGAATTTTCCTATTTCTCTTTATAGGCAAATAAACTCTAAATGGGTTAAAGATTTAAGGTGAAAATGAAGCAATAACAATTGTAGAAGAAATTATGAATAACTGCATAAATAATAAAAATAGTTGAGGACAAATGATAAATTTAAAATATTTTGAGCCTTTATAAAAGACAAAAAAAATCAATATGCTAACTATTCCAACAAGTCTTAAAATTGACAAGAAAAAAAATGTTTTGGTAGAAAAACATGTAAAGAACACGAATAGGCATTTCACAAAAGAATAAAATGCCAATCAGCATTTCTACATCTTCAACTTTTCTAATTATCAATAAAACCAAAATCAAAATACACAATGTAATTTCCATTGTATTGGCAGCATTAAAAATATAGAAATACATAGTATGGCTGTGGGTGTCAGAAATGAGCATTCATGTGCACTGGGACAATGTAAATCAATACCACCTTTGTGGAAAACAATGTATCATTTACCATGTATAACCTGGGCACAGCTGCTACATCTCTAACAATTTTACTTCTGGACATTTGCCCAAAGTAAAGCGCACAGTGGTATAAAAAAAATGTAAGCACAGAGATGTTCGCTGAAGCATTGTTTATAACAGTGAAAAATTAGAACAATCCAAAAATATCCACCAATACAGAACTGGTTGAGTATACTATATACATGTATAATGGAATGTCATGCAGTCATTAGAAATTATAAAGAATATCTATTGACAATGAAAGATATCCAAAGATGTAACTGAGCAAGTTGCTAAAAAATTATCAATATGATGCCATTTTTTGGTGAAGTTGAACATAGTCTATTTTATTATGGTTGTGAAAAGAAAAGTTGGAATGGATGCTCTCCATAATATTAAATGGTCATCTCTGGGTGGCGAGATTTTTGGAGAATTTTTACTCCTTTGAATTTTTTTCATTAAGAATGTATCTTTAAAAAAATTTTTTTATTTAAATTCAATTTAGTTGACATATAGTGTGTTGTTAGTTTCAGGGGTAGAATTTAGTGATTCATCATTTGCATATATCTTTTTTTTTTAACAGAAATGACAAAGAAACTGACACACATATACACGCACACATGCATGCCATGCACGCTCTCTCTCTCTCTCTCTCTCACACACACACACACACACACACACACACCCACCATGAGAGGGAAATGGGCATGTACCTCAGATGATCATCAAAGCGCACAGTAGCTGCACAGTGGAAGACAATGTTTGTACAGGAGAGAAGCTCTTGCATGTCCTCCTTGCTGATGGCAAAGTCATTCTGATTGAGATCTGCATAGATAGCTCTGATCTTCTCATGCACGTTTGGACAAATTTCTTTGACTTTTTCAAACAGCTAAAACATAAATATAAATCAATATGCAGAGAGCATCATCACCATCACATTGCTCTTGTTTTTGCTGGCTTGTCTCATCCCAATTCTCAAAAACTGGTTTTATTTATAGTATCACTCAAAGAAGGTATTTACTCAAGAGCCATTTGTTTTACTCCAGGCAATTCAGTCAGCTTAGTATAATTTCTGCTCCTCTTAATTTGATAAACATTCGAAAAAATCAGTTCTAATAATCAGTTAAGGAGTATATTTTGAGCTTTTCCTGCATGTGTGAAGGGGTGACAGTGAGTCATCCATATCCTGCCCGCCCCCCATCCCCGCCAACAAGGCAGCTTCGTGTTTATATGTGGTGATTTTTTCCATTTTTGGCTGGGAAATATGGCTTTCAGTGCAAAATTATCAACCTTTACAAATTACCAGCAAAATCACCAGCCTTTACAAGGGAGGTCTCACGGGCACAAGTTCAAAACAACTTAGTTAACTGGCCCAAAGGAACAATAGCTCTTAGCAGCGCAAACATAATTAGAAAATAACAAATTGGGCAAATTTGTAATGGGTAAAACAAATACAACTTTTACATAATCTCATTCCAATATCGATGGCAGTTATTGTCTAGTAAAAGAATTACATAAGTAATGTCCTTTTTATGGGATTTTAATTGATTTCTTAATATTCTAATTTCTTTATAAAGGAAAAGGAAAGAACACTGGCAGTTTTAGCTTTTATTACCATTGTTCGAATGGAACAGTCTCTACTTTCCCCTCCACACACAAGCTCTTAGGTTCAACTGGTATTTTTCCATTTTCTCAAAGAATATAATTTTAACAAAATGATCTTGGTTTCCACCTGTTTTGACAAAAGGAAATTCTGTAGTATTGACATGGGCTGTTTGCAATGAGGAAAAGTAAGGCTAAATGTTTAGGAAGGTTAGGAGCAGAGAAAATTAGTCTGTTTTAGTCATAGTAGAGTAGCAGAGCCTGTCCCCTTCACCCCTTCTGCCCCCGAAGAATGTTTGCATTTACTCCTTAATCCTGAGTAGTAGGCTTCTTCCCTCCATTGGAGATCTACCCTAGGCTCTTTTGTTGGGTCATAAGAAATTGATCTAAGGTAGTCATAGAAGTCATGTCTCATATTCTTGAATCAGGCAAGACCATGTTCAGAGGCCTTCTGGGAATCCAGTGAAGGTGATCAGGGAAGGAGGTCAAGTCCATGTATTGGCCTGGCGAGTTAATATATTTCTGCCTTTGAGCTACCATTTTTTCTGCACCGCAGGATCAGCCTTGCAGTAGCGTGGGACTTCAGTCCTGAAGAGTTTGGAGGTTAGATCAATCCTCAAAGCTTTTTTGACATTTGGGACTGATGATGTGGATACAGTGTCTGAGAGACATTCTCAACAAAGGTCATTCTGGTTCTTCCAGAAAGATATTTAAGAGCTTTTGTAATCTGGATGAATCAGAAGCATGCTAAATACTGGTTTTCACGGTCAAATGTTTTCCTTCTCATAGTCCATGTTAATCATGCAACAAATTGGATCTTCTTGGATAAATTTATCTAAAATGTCCACAATTTCCCCCCCCCTTTTAATAATTGGATTTGTAGAAGGTTCTGTTTTGAGTCTGCATGGCAGATTTTATTCACAAGAAATTTAGTGAGGGTTCTGTGGAGTCTTTGACTTTGGCCTGTGATGACTTCTGGCTACGTTAGAGTAGTAAGTGGAAAATGACTTCAGTGTCCATCCTTACAGCAATGGAGTTCCTCACACATGATGTAAGCTACCATAAAGATTTTCCTTTGCTTTTGGTTTTTATGACTTCAGCAGAGAATCCTGCTACACCCTATTGTACTTTCATCCCACCTGGGCAAATGTAATAAATGGAGATAATCACCATTTCAGGAAAGAGTGTTCTGATCTATATTCTGTGTATTGATTACATTTTCCTTTTTTTTTTTTAAAGATTTTATTTATTTGACAGAGAGACACAGCGAGAGAGGGAACACAAGCAGGGGGAGTGGGAGAGGGAGAAGCAGGCTTCCCACCGAGCAGGGAGCCCAATGCGGGGCTCGATCCCAGGACCCTGGGATCATGACCTGAGCCGAAGGCAGACGCTTAACGACTGAGCCACCCAGGCACCCCTTGATTACATTTTCCAATGAGAGGGCATGTCTGAGTGAACATGGTATAACTTTTTTTTAAAGTCTAAGTTTTCTAATCCAGATGGAATTTATTATGGTCAATTGAAATAAATCAGTGAATTGGCTGCAGCAATTCAAACCACAGGACTAAGTGAGAGTCACATTTTACTATGTGATCCATGCCCGTTAATACGACTTGCCTTGCCTGGCATCTCACCATTTTGCTCCAGCCACCCCTAACAAAATAATACTTCTTAAATGTTTCCACATTCTCAATAGACTGCTGAGATTACAGCCAACCACCATCCAACAGGTCAGTGCTTTTCCACATGTTATCCACCAAGCGAACTGTATTGGATTCACTAGGATGCACATTAAAAGTGTATATTTCCAGCCCCTGGCCCCACCCACTGAATAAGAAATGACTGGGTCACACCCAGGAGTCTGTATTTCACATCAAGTTCCCTGGTGGATTTTAACTGATCCCAAGATGAGAACTTCTTCAGCTGGAGTGTTAACACGGATTAATTGAACAATGGTGTTTGAATCATTTCCCTTTATAACTGTCCAGGGCAGTTACAGGACATCAGTGGTTTTCAAACTGTGTAGGCATAAGAAAAATCCAGGAACCAATTAAAAATGACTTGCTTACTCTACCCTCTGAGATCCTGACTCAATAGGTTTGGCAGGTTAACCCAGGTAGTTGTATTCCTTAACCAGTTCCACAGATAGGTCTGCTGTGCTGGGTACCATACTTGTGAAACATTAATTTGGAACATTAATTTGGAAAATTCACATCCATTTTTAAAGTCAGGGCTTAAATTTCCCCCTCTGGTTGGTAAATCCTTGGTTCTTGCTTATCATTTTATGCTGGACAGCACCCAGTTCATTGAAAAGCCTCAAATGTTGTTTGTTACATTGACATTAATTACTGTAAGAACAGTAATGGAACCAGGAGTGGGAGCTTGATTCCTGAAATCGTTTGTTTACCAGCTCTTTTGTGTTGGTGGGAAGAAAGACAGCAGATAACTACCACAAGTAGAAGAAACAAAGTGTTCCCTTGGGTCCTCTGCACTGATGGCAAACGGGAGCTGGAAAGGCTCAGAGTATAACCTTTGCTTTTGTAATAATGATACAACCGAAGGACAGAAGAAATGCTGCAAATGGGTCCTCAGTGGACACCAGCTCTTCTGAAAGGTTCTTTTGCTGATGTGAGCCATTCATTAAAGGTAAGAAAAAAATAGATGGACCAAACATGAGTGCAGAAAAAATATATAATTTCAAAAATTTCACTGAAGGTCCACCAATAAAGAACTTAATGTAGTTATTTTAGATTCTAAGAGTTTATCATATTTCTTCTCGTATAGTCTTTAGGTAATGGCATAGGACTGAGAAGGTAAAGAGTGGAGTAGCTACCTGCCATTGATGAAAACTCAAGGAGGGACTGCTGTGTTTCCATTTCCTGAAACCCTGTTCTTGACAGAAGCAGGATGTTTTTCTGTGGCCAATGAAAGATCACAGCGAAGAGGCTCTCTAAACTTTTCAAACTTGGGGTGCCTGGGTGGCTCAGTCAGTTAGGCGACCGACTCTTGATTTCAGCTCAGGCCATGATCTCAGGGTGGTGAGATCGAGCCCCACTTAAGCCCTGCTTAAGATTCTCTCTCCCTCTCCCTCTGCCCCTCCTCCCCCTCACTGTCTCTAAATAAATAAATCTTTTTAAAAAAACCATTTCAAACCGGTAACAAAGCTATACGTTTCTCTTGGAAAGTCTAGGAGTGTTCTATTGATTTGACATTATACAGCAAGGATTTCTTTCTCTTAATTTGTTTTAACCACAAGAGATGATTCCATATACGACAATAGTTACTGATAGCCCAGACACAGGAGAGAAACTTTACATATCCTAAGGGATAAAATTCAGCAGAAAGAAGATCAGAAAGAGAAATTTTCTGGATTCGATAAACTCCTTGTGTATGACTTTTGGACCCAGACACTATGACTGCATTTTTATTAGAAGCAGGAATTGGGCAAGGGGTTGGGGGTGTGACATTTATATTACGCTTTTGAAACAACGTAGAGGTCCTGAACTTGGATTTCTACAATTAACTTGTTATCCACATGATCTCACTTTGTGTTTTTTTTTTAAGATTTTATTTTTATTCATTTGAGAGAGAGAGTGCATGCGCACGTGAGTGAGCACAAGCAGGGGGAGGGGGCAGAGAGAGAGGGAGAAGCAGGGAGCAGGGAGCCGAGCAGGGAGCC